AGAGATGGTAAGTAGGTGGGGTGCCTTCTCGTACCCGAGGTCGGTAAACCTCATCCAACCGAAATCCAAAATCCTAAATATACAAAAAGTATCCGTCAACATAAATCGAGAAAAGCCGTAAAGCCAAAACCAGAGAGTCTGTACGTAAAACCAAAACCGAAACGATAATCCAATTCGGGAAAGCCTGGGTCGCTCAGGATGCTAGGTTATAGAGAGAGTCAAGGTTCACCGATACGCGAGTCTAACCTGGAGTTGAACCGATACCAGAAAATGAAGAAGAGAGTTTAAAACTAGTGTGAACGCGGTAGGATACCGACAGCAAGTCTATGTGAGGTCCGGGGTGCTTATGACGCCGCAGCGGATATCATCAACGAGAGCATCCGTAATAAAATCCGAGCATACCGTCGTAATCCAGCTTAAAGGATCTCATTATGACAGCTCGCAAGGAGGTAGTTGAACGCCGCTACCTCTGCTACAATTGCCTCGAACGCCACTTAGTCTCGGCTTGTCGCTCAAGACTGAATTGTCAGCTCTGTGTAGGTCACTACCACCTTCAACTCCTCAACACTCAGTCTTCAGAGCAGCCTCAACGTCCAGCTCAACTAAAGCCTACTGCCGCCTCAAATTCCAGGCATAGCATCCCTGTGTTCAGCTACAGCTACGAGAACGGCTTTCCTAGAACCATCTCGCTCACGCCAGCTCCATCTACATTAGCAGTATGAAGTGTCCATTTACCCTCAATTTCCGCTCAGAGTTAATGCCTGCACCTTTGATCAGCTCATTACATCTCTCCCCACCTCCTCACAGGAACACTTGTGAGTTAGATGGGATCACCTGCATGGACTTCAGCTGGCTGGTCCCGAAATTTTCACACCAGCACCTATCGACGTTCTGCTCGGTGCTGACGTCTACAGTCAACTCATCCTTCAGCAATAGACCGAATTCACCACCTGCTCAGCTGACCTGTCTTAAGTGGATCGTCTTCGGACTAGCCGAAGGTCGAGATTCAACTCACAAGGCCACTGCTTACCTAGCAGTCACTAATAAAGATCTCAATGCTCTGCTTACCAAGCTCTGGGTTCAGGAAGAAATAACTGAATCTCCCGGGGTTCAGTTGACAGAAGAAGAAGCTCAGTATGAGGAACACTTTAGAAGGACTCACGCACGCAATTCCGCAGGTCGTTACATGGTTCGGTTACCGCTCAAGTCTCCAATATCATTACTGGGAGATTCACGATTCTCTACTCTCGCTTACCTCCGAATATTACTTCAGAAACTCTCATGTGATGAGATTTCTCGACATCTCTACAGGGCCTTTCTCAAAGCATACGAAGACCTCGGCCCCATGCGTCCAGTCTCCGGACAGCTCGCCTTGTCAGATCGTCAACCGCAGCTAACAGGAAGATGTATGGCCACCGGGATTACACTAGCACATGAAGTTTCCATTGCAGGAGCATTAAAAGTCTCGGAGAATCCGTATCTAACTCAGGCTCAGGTGTCACCGAAGTATTGCTTTCCTCATTACTCAAAGGCTCCACCTAGAGTGGAAATTGAACTTGTAACAGATGCTGATAAGCTCTTATGGCAAGATTAGCAAGGTTCAGTGATATTTATAAATTTTTCCACGGGATTTTGTCGCCTCACAGCCTTATGTGCCTTATAATAAAATCGATGTGTATTCGTACTACGCAGAATTTTACCCTAGTGCATTTGATCTATTGATATCACCTTTGCTGTTTTTATATTTCTGTAGAATATCAAAGATGGCAAATCTCAATTATCTTCCTTGAAGATTACCTCAGCATTTCCCATTTTCCATTCGTCATCCACCTTACTACATTAAGCCTGCTGCCTCTTGAAAAGTGTAACTTCTCACTCAAATTTCAAACTACACCGTGCTGCGGAGTAGTTTTTGCTCCCAGGAATTGTAGGAGTATCCTCTGCTACGAAAGGCAACAAAGCATATCTGGACTGAGAAATGCTCAACGCAATTGGAGGAACCGCGTCACATCATCCTCGACTTTCAAATAGCTAGAAAAACTCAGGCCGGGAAGGATGCAAGGACATTTGATTATTGTCATGTTCGATAAATCAACTTAATCTTGAATAACCAAAAATTATTGGGAAAGAAAATATTTTTATTTCTCATCGTCAACAGCATGGCTTTGGTTTTCAATGATTCAAGCATTATGCTCACACCAAGTTTAAGTACAAGTAAAATGCCTAGCATAGGTGCTGCTGGACTTTTCTCCTGCAGATTCGGCCCTTTTTTTACTTTCCAATCAACCGCTCCATGAACTAACCCGACGATCACGCATAAAATTGCCATCCATTTTCACTATCAATTTTTCAATGCAATTAAGAATAACAGTTAGTTTTTCATAATATGGATGGATAATGGCCGGCATGAGTCATTTGAAGCATCTCCCTCATTCTTCTTTCTCACAGCAGCATAATTCCTCTCCGAAATCAGCACCCCACTAATGACAATCCAGTTAATTTCCGGTAGAACCTTGCCGAAATGCTTCTCCAGTATATGTTCAAAGTCGGGATGGAGTACTATTCAAATAGCACAACTCTTCTGCTGAGAGATTCTCCACGATTACAACTGAAGTGGTAGAAATTCGCGATTTATATCTCCGATTCTTGCGATTCTTATCCCCTTCAATACCCTGTCCCAATTTCTGTCCATCTGACATTTAATTATTCCAAACTATTGTTAGTTCTCAAAGAGGCGTCTATTTGTATAACTATGAAATTTTTTCAAGAAATTCTTAATAACTTTCCAATTAATTGTTACCAACTGTGAATTTCTTCCATCTCCACCGTCTCAGCTGATGAGGTTGATAAACTTGTACATGGTCTCCTGAATCTTTGCTTCACCTGTAATCTCGTCCAGGGGATCGAGGATAGTTATTATCTTCGCCCGTTCCCATGCTCACATCCTAATTTTACAACCGAATTAATGCAGACGCCAGCTAGCTTTTTATGGTCCAAAAGCTAACAAAAACCAAGAGAACCGAAATGAGGGTAAGGAAGTGGGGTGCCCTGCCTCACCCGAGGTCCGTAAACCTCAGAAATCCAAAAATGCATCCTAAATCCAAAAACAAGAGCACGAAGAGACAGGACGAATGGGGTTGGAACTGGCCCTCGCAACTACACAAAAACCGAAAAGCCATAAAATCCTAAAGGAGACACGATGAAGCAGTGATCGAAGACATAACCCGTGAGGAATTAAAAGCTGGTGACAAACGGAACGGAAGCGGGAAGGCCTGGGGTTACTTAGGATGCTAGGTCGTGGAGAGAGGGCCAGAATCCACGAATACGCGAATCTAATAATCCGCAAATGAGGGACCTCGGAGTAGTACGACGCGTGGATCGAGACACCGAGAACAGGCTTGCGGGAGACGCGAAGCCAGCCTCGAGGACCACCTCACCGAGAGCACGACGTAAGGTGGGGGAGTGCCGGGAGGCCGAGAGCGTGAGAAAGTAACTCACCCCAATTTCACACTATCGGGAGCGTGACGGTCACTCTAAGGTAGCTCCACATATAGAGAGCCTAGCCAGAGAGAATATCACTCTCACCCAGAAAGCGTTATCAGGGGGAATATGGCTCTCACCTAGAGGACGTCAGCCGAGGAGAGTATTGCTCCCACTCGGAGAGCGTCACCAGACAGAGGACAACACTCATCTAGAGAACGCCAGGAACCAATGCAGGGCATTGAACCTACCAAGGGCTCAAGAGCGAGAGCGAACAGTGGTGCGCACTGGGAGAAGGCCGGAGCGCCTCTGCCGAGCGAGTGGACAGTCTGGGTAGTATTGCCGAGACCCCCCACTCTCGACCACGACTGGGTGGGCTGCCGTGTGCCGGGACGTGCTGCCCTCGCCGTCGCGTGGATATCGCCGATAATAGCTTCTCCTGGAGCGCGCCTAATTCAAACGTCGCCACTAACCCCTTCGGACAACCCTTCCGAATGATCAGCCGTTGAATGCCCGCCCCATCTAACATGGAGCGCTCATACGCCAGTATGAGTCCTATGTGGAATGCGAGGAAGTCTCATAAAGAAACGGGGCATGTTTCTACGTATCTGCCCTGTGCTAGTGTCTGCCTCTAGGCCTCCTAACTCCCTAAGCACTTGGGCCCCAGTCCTCACACCCTTTGACGATTCGCGAAATTCCCGGGGAGGGTCGAGATAGCAGACATACCCGAGGACTTAGTTCAAAGGATCCAAAAATCGAGTTTAATGTGCGAGATTTCCTAAAATCCCGTTACACACCACACTATGATCCAGTGAGACCGCCGTCAATGTTTATACGACAGGTACGTGCTAACCGGTGAACACACAGCCACGCGAGGGGAACAAGTTCGCGCTTCGATCTCAATGAGAACAGTGTCGAGTTTACAATGATTCTTCACACATGATTAAGAAAAAATATTCAGCTTTTTTATTAGTTTCTATTCATAATGATTTAGAAGGAAAATCCAACAATCATGAATTAATTTACCATTGTAGTTATTATCATCATTATTAAGGTAGCATAAAAAATCCATTGCCAGCAGATCGTCTAAAAATTTTCGCAGCTATGATTGTCAACTATGAAATATTAGATATTGGGGTTTGGAAATTAGACCTTAGACCTTAGACCTTAGACATCACCTATTCGATATTAGGCATCAAAGATCATGTACTAGGTATTAAAGATCACATATGGAGGGAAAAGTGAGTGTGGATAGAATTGGTGGAGGTTATGTGCAGGACAATTTCGGCGCGAAAGTCAACTCCACTCGAGTAAAATACCTCATGCCAAGAGTCATGAAATATTCTAATTCATTGAAAATTAATAATTAACGAGAGGCCTCTCGAAGCCCGTTGAAGAGACAAGCTGAAACACAATTTGTAATACCTAGATTATTGGAAAAAGAAATCATCACCAAATTTCCATATGTCTTAGGTCTCTTTCAATTTTTAATGTAGAAATACAAATGCAATGTTACATACCCATCACGGCGAGACTTCAAGTGCGACGTTGGACTTCGGCACTCGAGGTGGCGCAGCGGGCTTTCAGCGCAGTGTTGCCGCCACATCAACGCAATAACACCCTGAAATCACGGTAATGCATCAAAAATCGAATCTGACAGAAAATGGCAATCTCGATAATGCCAATGATTATATATTTATGAATATTTAGTGGATAGATATATTAGTCACATAAATGAAAGGCGCGTAGGCCATTCATGCAATGAAAATGGTGTTACTTTTGCAATGAAATGAAGATACAGATTACAATATTTGCGAAACGTCCGCAAAATGGCGAAATTACAAGCGGCATCTATCCGGAAGCCAACTATTATAAGTTGAATGAACTATTATTTGTTGCATTACAACTGAATGCCGGGTTCCAAACAACGAATTAAAAAAAAATACTCAACCGAATATCTCAAGTTGTTATAATCTTTCTATCAGTACATAAATTCATGGTGTAAGGTCAATTTTCCCAAAATATTGTCTTCTGAGCTGATAACTTTAAACCGTTAAAATCGGCGAACAGTTGAATGAACTGTTACTGTTGTATTTATAACTAAATGCCCGGTTCCAATCAACGAATAAAACAAAAATGCTCAGCCGAATATGACAAGTTTCTAGAACCTAATGCTTTTATCAGTGTAGTCAAATTTCACGTTTCTTAAATTTCTTGTTAAATTATCGATGCGATTGACCTAAAAAAATATGACGTTTTTGCATTGTTTCATTATTTAATGGCTCACGGAGTGTTTGTGGTGATACGATCATTTTCATGGATTTTCTCTCGTCTTGTGACTCTTTTTAAAAATTCAGTAAAAACGTAGAAAAGTCCTCGCACAGCCTTGTAACTTTGTGAATCATCAAAAACTGATAAAACGCAAGAACATTATATTAAGTCGACTAAAAAAATGAAAAAATGTCAGATTTAGTTAGACGGGGCAATCTCTGAAGAAACAAAACCCAAATCTTTGAAATGTGGCCTTGGTTGATTTTTTTCCATAATAGTAGGTAATGAGCGAAGCATTCATGTATTTTTCCAAATTTTTTATACCAACTATTTTCGAAATATGAATTTTCAAATATTGTTTTTCAAAAATTTTTATATTGAGCATCGTTAATCATAAAAAATCTCAGGCACACTTGTCATTTCTTAGGGGTAATCCGAGTTCTATCCTTTGCTATTTCCATTATTAATGGAAAGGGAAAATTAATAGAATTTTATCGACTTTTGCCATAAGTTGAAATTGTACGCGTTTTGTTCATATCCCTGTACACTGTAGAACAAGTCTGGGCAAAGTGTGCTGTCACTGCTCACCTAGCTCCCGACTCCGATGAGGCCAATGAGTACAAAAAAGGGGTCTTATTGTATTGTGCAGGTAGTCGGAGGGGCGAGACCACAATGGGTCTGCTGGTATAGTTATGTCACTCAACGGTTAAAAATTTGAATTTTGAAAGCAAAATATAAATGTTTTTTTGCGGTATTTTGCACTGGTAACAAATATTCATTATTATTATTATTATTATTATTATTATTATTATTATTATTATTATTATTATTATTGTTATTATTATTATTATTATTATTATTATTAATAATCATAATATTTTTATTCGTCGTTGGGATTGAAAATCCGCCTATCCCCCAACATCTTCATGTGGCAGGGATTGAATTCTAGCAAACATTGGGACTAGGTTTGAGAGACGAAAATTCTGGGCCAACGTTGAGTGCCATTGGTTTCCGAATTTTCCCGTCATCTATCCTGACGTCGCACCCTCAGGGCAAAATTATTAAACTATAGTAGTTTAATAATTTTAGCAGTCAGAGTCAGTTGCGGTTTCTAGTTTTCTCGTGTTTGCAAAGTTCCTCATTAAATTTCCGTTATCAGACCAATGATAAAGTTAAAAGCTTCTTAGAGTTATTTCTTTGATGAAGTCCTTCAAGGTTCAGTATTTTTTCACATTTTTGTGCCGTGTGGCCATTGCGCCAAGTATCAAGCAGTAAGTCAACATGTAACACAATAATTCTCCTTTTCCTTTGTTAAAATATACACTCTTTTGAATCATGTTCATTTCAATTTCGCGTTCATAATTTTATTTATCCTCCATCTGCCTCTCCAAATTTCATATCGATAAAACATTTCAATAAATCATTCAATAAAAAATATATATTACCCCCTTTTCAATTAAATGCCCTTGGGGTCTAGTTTATGTCGGTGATCACTTCATTTAATCCTAAATTTCCTTGGATTTCGATCACACCTGACATAACATAAAGATGTTTATGGCCCAGTGGGGGAAAAACGCGATCCTAACCTCGCTTCGCTCGGATTGATCGCGCTTTTTATCCTTCAGACATAAAGTAGCATATGCACCGCGGTGGAAACGCATTTTCTCGCACGGGGGGCATAATATACTATTGATCGATAAATTAACAATTGATGGAAAAAAATCAATGTCAGAAAAGGCTTGATCAAATGAAGATCAAATGAATCGGATCCGAACTTTATCAGTCTTTTTTATCGAGCCATTCAAATGTATCAAATTGAATTGAAGCAGTTTGACCTTGAATATTGATTGATTTGAGTCCGCCTATAATTTTTGGAGTCCATTCTACTGGATCAGACCGTAGTCAGAGTTTCATCGGGTATTATTTGATCAGGCCTGCCTGACCAGTACTTGATCTGAAGTCGCCTACTATAGTTGATAGAATTCAATTTATTAGATCAAAACTTGGTTAAGGTCTCGTCATGTGTCATCTAACCAGGCTTACCTGATCTGATCTTGATCTGAACCCGGTTGTAGTTTTCGGGGTCCGATATACTGGATTAAAACTTAGTCATGTTCTGATTAGATCTTACTTGATAAGGTGAACTAGACCAAAACTGACTCGAATTCTCATCGGACTCAAGGTTGCCTAACGGGTGTTTTTTCCGAAAATTCTTTTTGATTTTTCAAGAATAGGGTTGATCGTTGTTGCACGGTAGATTTGATTCGATTAACTATGACTGTGTACAATCAAAAAAAAACACTCCTAAAAAAATCGCCGTTAGGCAACTGTGATCAGACTTCAAGTAGACCTGACCCAATTTCCACTTGGACCATCATCAATTTGCATACTTCATCATACTTTCCATAACTGACAATTTTTTTTTGCGATATTCCTCCTAAATATAGTAGCTTTTCTCATTAACTAAATATGCTGTGTTTAATCAGAGTGAACATTCTCAGACAGGTCGCCTCCTTAGGTGAAATGTAACCATCGGTCGATACAAAGATCGTCACAGTTCAGACAAACGATTCTTCGTTAATAGTTAATAAGTCCCTAACCCGCGCAGCCGCACACGATTTCGAAGAATTATTGCTTTAGCGCCGAAAATCAACGACAACAACATATTCTATAGTCTCCTATATTTTAATGAGAACAAGAATACTATTAAACGTATTTCCTTTCACTATTAAACAAAAAATTTGATATGATGATTTTTTCAATTTGCTCATTTTCATATTATCTTGTGATGGATGGAATAATTAATTTCTAGACATCGAACGTTTTAGTACCAATATATATTGAACAATGCATTCTTTATGTGTCCGTTATTTAATTGAAGAACTTTGAATGATATACTTGATTTGATTCTACTGCCTCAACTATATCATTTGTTATTAATTGACAAGTCTCGCTTGATGTGAATTAATTATTCTATCAGTGTAGCAACAAACGTCTACTTGAACTCATATTAAACAATCGCCCGAAAAATTCGAATTCAGTATGTTAGACCGGTCTTATATTTAGCTGAAATAAATCGAATTTTTCTTTATAAACCATCTCAAATAAATTGCGCTAATCTCGATAAAACTACTCCCCAAATAATTTTAAGGTCTACTTTAGGAAACTCACTCGGATAAACTTGGCAGTTATTCGAGCGGAAACTAAAGGATGTCGTGAGCTGCCTTCCCCCTTCCCCTTTTGGACCCTCGTCGGCGATAGGTGGGTGCCAAGTAACGACTAGCCAAGGTGGCAACACGCAACAAAAGCTACAGGGAACCCTCGAGTAATTGCAAGGCATCTGACGTGTTACAGTATTTCACATATATATGGTATATATATTCAAAGTACACACAACTGGCAGTTGGTCTCACGCGGCCTACGCGACATGTTCGGAGGACTTTAACCGTAAGCAGGGCTAACAGTGTTTCGAGGGTAGGTGGTGCCGATGTATACTGATGTGGAGGTATGTCGCGTAGCCAGAACCGACACACGCTGACCAACTTTAACCCGTACCTAAACTACACCCAAGGCTTTCTAAATACATGTACATGTAGAAACCAAAGTGCCTCAACGTCGCATGTACACTGAGATTACATAATGACATAATATTCCTCGTCTGCCCTCATGCCCGCTGATTCCATGAGCCGTGATAAGAAAAGAATGCAATTTCTGCAGGTTTCAAATGCAGTGAATGAGAATGATTGTTTTGCGATAAAAGAAGCTGTAAATGGAAAGGGTGAAGTATTTCTTTTCGACGGATTTCTGGAAAATCCGTTAATTATCACCAAAGAATTACTGACTAGCCATGGTAGAGTTCATTGGAAATTTTCGGTATTGAGGTATTATTTAAACCCATCTAAGTTGAAGTTTTGTTATGAAGAAATGAAAGAAGGAAATGAAGAGAATCAAAAATAAGCAAGTTTGCTCTTATTTCCAGAAATTATGTTTTCTAGAGGTATGCGTTAAAGTTGCTAGTTGAGAGAAATTAAATATATAGGGCCTTAGAAAATTCACCATAAGCCGAAAATTATCGCCCGGGTGGAAATGATCACACTTAACGATGGCAACATGACTGAGTCAAGATATGATAACGAGACTGGGCGATCCAGAGCGGAACCAACTTCACAGGCTATCAGTTTATTTTCCAACGATGAGAAATATTTCCATATTGGGGACTGGGACCTGTGCTGTAATGTGCTATAATTAATTATACATAGAGAGAAATTTCTAGCAGAAATTATCTTGATGGAAGGATAATACTGTATTGATTTGTCCACGATCCAATAACTATCCTTGTATAGGATAATA